TGTGCTTGTAGCATATATAAAAGTGAAATATATGAGAACAATGACACATCAGAGGGAGCGAGAAATTAGGAGTATATTGTTAGAAGGTTCTGGAACTGAAGGTAGCTTCAGATTTTTTAAATGTATATTATAGACCTTAAGGCAACCAATAAAAATATTTTTTAAATGTTGAAAAGGTAGGAGAGGCAGAGAAGGAGGTTAAAAGAAATAAATAGATAAAAGAATAGAAAGTAGCTAGTAATATGATAGATGTTAATCCAACTATATAAAAAAACACTTTTAATGGGAATAATGTAAACATACCAGTTAAATGTGTGTTTATACATTTGACAGGAATGATCAGATACAGTTAAAAAAATGAAAAGACAAGCTAGTCTGGGAAAAACTTTTTTACAAATCACTTATCTCACAAAAACTTGTATCCAGAATTGGTTAAAACTCAACAATAAGGAAAGAAATAATCCAATTTTTTAAATGGACAAAAGACCTGAAAAGATACTTCACCAAAGAAAATATTGACAAATAAGCACATAGAAGATGTTCAACAACATCTGTTACCAGAAAAATGCAAATGAAAACCATAATGTGACAGTACTAAATACTTATTGCTGTCATTCAGTCACTAAGTCATGTCCGACTCTTTTCCAACCCCCATGGACTGTAACGCACCAGGCTCCTCTGTCCATGGGATTTTACAGGCGAGAATACTGGAGTGGGCTGCCATTTCCTTCTCTAAGAGACCTTCCCAACCCAAGGATCGAACCAGGGTCTCCTGCATTGGCTTCCCTCATAGCTAATCAGCAAAGAGTCTGCCTGCAGTGCAGGAGACCTGGGTTCAATTCCTGGGTCCGGAAGATCCCCTGGAGAAGGAAATGGCAACCCACTCCAGTACTCTTGCCTGGAAAATCCCACGGAGAGAGGACCCTGACAGGCTATAGTGTGTGGGGTCGAAAGAGTCGGACGCGACTGAGCCGCTAAGCACACAGGCGCACTCCTGCATTGGCGGGCGGCTTCTCTACGGCTGAGCCGCCAAGGAAGCCACATGCTTATCAGAATTGCTAAAATTAAAACAACACAACAACTGGACAGTACCAGATTCTGGTGACGATTCGGAGCAACAGGGATTTTCACTACTCATGACTGAGCATACAAAATAGTACAAGTGTGTTGGAAGACAGTTTGGTCATTTATTATAAAGTTAAATATATATGCTCACAATAGAATCTGGAAATCTCAACTGCAAATGAGTTTAAAAATTTACGTTCACACAAGAAATTACATAAGAATGTTTATAATAATGTTATTCAAAGTCACCCAAACTGAAACAACCAGGCTGTCCTTCAACCAGGTAATGGACAAACGCATAGTCCACACAATAGACTATTACTCGGTAATAAAAATGAATGCACTTGTGATTCACACAGAATGTCAATGAATTTTAGATGCATCCTTTAAGTGAAAAAAGCCAGACTCAAAAGGCTACATATTGGATGATTATATCTTTATGAAAATTATTGAAAAGGCACATCTATAGGGTCAGAAAATAGGTCAGTGGTTGCCAGGGGATGAGGGGAAAGGGAGAGGCATTCTACAAAGGGGCTGTACCTGGCATTTCTCAGGGTGACAGGATGCTCTACATGGTTCTGGGGTGGAGGAAAAATGACTCTTTGGATTTGTCAAACTGCATAGGGCCATGCACTACAAAGTATGAACATATGTGCGTATGGGAAAAAAAATCAACCAGGATGTCAAGGAGATCCCTGTTGGGAGAAGGAACGCGGAAAAATGCTATCGGCTGAGTGGCAACTATTAAAGCATGCTGAAGAACAGAAAAAACAAAGAGCAGTAAATATAGTGTCATGACCTCAAAACCACGGGTGCACAACCTCTCCACTTCTGCCCACTGCGAGCGGTGGATGAACGCTGGGTTAGCTCCCAGGAGCAAGGGCTGTGTTTGCCTCCCTCTGGAGCAGGCGGGTTGCAGCTCAGTGTCCCGCCAACCTGAGTCATCTACACTCACTCCTTGTGAACTTATGTGTAGTCAGCTCAAAATGTTGATGTCTTTTATCTTCTTGTTTTAAGAATCTGTATGAACATACAAATATACCCATTTCTGCTTACAATTCATATACAGTATGAACTAACAAAATTATAAATCAGATACAAAGAAAACTGTAACCCCAATAAAGCGCCAACTGATAACCTTAAATTGGTGAAACCAAATCACTCACAAACACACTCACAAATGATCACAGTGTTGCTGGGTCTTCTGAGGTAAGCGTTCCTGACTACTGTTAGGACTACTCAATGTTGCTGCCATTACTGTGTTTACAAACGATTATCACAAACCTCCTTTTTTACAGCCCACCTGACGTCACATAAGATGCCTCGAGGAAGGTGAATCTGAAATCACTTCCCACATGAACACCATCACAACGACTACTAGACTCTGTTAGGATTATTCTATTTTCATCTGCACCTAACCTGTGATCAATGACATGAAATTTGGGTTAAACTTGGTCCTTGTCCGGGAGAAGGAAATGGCAACCCACTCCAGTATTCTTGCCTAGAGAATCCCCTGGACAGAGGAGCCTGGTGGGCTGCTGTCCATGGAGTCATACAGAGTCGGACATGACTGAAGTGACTTAGCATGCATGCATGCATTGGAGAAGGAAATGGCACCCCACTCCAGTATTCTTGCCTAGAGAATCCCCTGGACAGAGGAGCCTGGTGGGCTGCTGTCCATGGGGTCATACAGAGTCGGACATNTAGAGAATCCCCTGGACAGAGGCGCCTGGTGGGCTACATTCTGTAGGGTTGCACAGAGTCGGACACGACTGAAGTGACTTAGCATGCATGCGTGCGTGGTCCCGGTCCTCTGAGGAGCCTAAGTGTGAAGACGTCACCAGGATTCACACGGGCATGGTTTGTCTGTGTTGGAGGAGAAAAGACTGTGCTGGCCATTATGCCTCTGCTCCCTTTGTCCTGAGTCTCTGCCTGCTTTGGAAGATCCTGACAAGAGGCAGGTGCAAACGCCACCCTCAGGTGGGATTTCAGCATCTTGCACCACCACACTGATCTGTTCTGAATGACGTGAACTCCCTAAGGTTAGAGTACTGCTTTCAAGGTCGAAAAGTAAATCATTTATAAGTGGGCGGCACTCATAACTCATCAATTTGAATAGAACATTTAAAAAAATTGTTTGACTCCTGATTCTGTTAATTAACCTGTGATTTGGAGAAATTCATGCCATAACAATGAATACTCAAGTGTTAAATTCTGGAGCATTTTTTGCTATATGTCATACGAGAATAAAGCATGCCTTTGAATTTTTGCAACAGTGCAGCCAGCTTTTAACTGAGTTTGTCAGATAGCAAGTTAGGGGCTGGACTAGGGCTGCATCAGAGAAAGACGCTGACAGGATTTTTTTTTTTTAGTAGTACTGAAAGCAGCTCCTGGTTGTGTAGCTCCAGTGACAAAGTGTCAGTGATCTTCCTGCTCCCTTCCTGCCCTGCACGTGCTCCCAACGCCAGGCTTGAGAAACAGCTGCAGAAAAGTGGACACACCTGTGGGTGACAGAGCCAGAGCCTGGCAACCACACACACCAGCCATATTTTGGGAGGCAGGGCTAATCACCAGCCTCTCTGCTTCATTCACTCATCAGGAAAGTAATGGTCATTCGTCGCTGCTGTCCATTCACTAAGTCATGTCCGACATTTTGCGACCCCGTGGACTGCAGCATGCCAGGGTTCCCTGTCCTTCAACACCTGAGACTTTGCTCAAATTCATGTCCATTGAGTCAGTAATGCTATCTAACCATCTTATCCTCTGTTGCCCCTTCTCCTGCCCTCAGTCTTTCTCAGCATCAGACTCTTTTCCAAAGAGTCAGCTCTTCGGATCAGGCAGCCAAAGTATTGGAGTTTCAGCTTCAGCATCAGTCCTTTCGATGAATATTCAGGGTTGATTTCTTTTAGGATTGACTGTTTTGATGGCAATAGTGATGTGGTTGAAATGGAGAGATGCACGTAACATCCTGAGAGAAAAGCTTGATACTGGGACATAATCTATAAATGTTAGCTGTGATTATTGTCCCACTTGACGTGTTGGGTTGGAATCACCCATTTCCCCTTCTTGCTTTAAACTCAACTGGTCTATGAGTTCTGGAAGGGCAGGGACCATAACTTCGCGCCTCTGTTCCCACGGCCCCAAGCACACAACACTCAATCGAGGTGTTTTGAACTGAAGAGAGGGAATAGAATTGGAAAATTGTTTGAGAGAGCAAAAAGATGGCAACCAAATAAGGGACAGGAATGAGTCATTTTCACCCTGGAGTGGAGGATAGCAATGGCTGTGTACCACCCTAGAGTCAATCTCTGTGCCAACATAATTTCATCTCAATGCATTTAATGGAACTTCTCTCACAATGCCTTCTGGTAGACTACTGGAGAGGATTCTGTAACTAAAGGTTGTTTTCTCTGCTGCAAAATAGACCTGAATGCTAACCAATTTTCAAAAAGTCTCATTCTAAGGTACTGGAAATGGTTGTGAATTGGGTGTTGGGTATCCTTTATCAATACATACCTATAATCTTAAAATTTCACAATTTACTACATGTATTATACCTCCAAACAAAATCTTAAAAGGCCCTTTGCCTCTCTGTAGCAATTCTGTCTGACACATGTTTAAAAGATCACCATTGGTACCCCGACTGTCCTCCCAAAGGCATCCTGTATACACACGGTATATAAAATTACATGAAATTTGCTGCTTACCATGAATAGGAAAAGCCTCGAGGCTTCAAAACAGGAAAGCTCTTTGCTGAAGAGCATCTGAAATTAACATTCGCATAATCTATCCACCAGAGGGCGCCATCAGAGCCCGAATAGTAAGAACACACTGAGCTAGCAAGCCAACCTATCAACCTTTCTAGACAAGAACTGCAGTTTCCACACACAAGCAATATCAATTTCTAGGTTCCTAGGAAGGCAGATGAAATTTTATTAAAGTCAGACTTAATTCATGGGTTTATTTTTTCTTCTCAACAGTAGTCATGCTGTAATAATAAGAGGCATCTTGATGTCATAAACACTAATAAATGACTAAAAAGGAGATGGGCACAGAAATAAGGATAGTTTACCTTTGTATTACCTCTAATGCTTTACAGGTTAGGCAGAGAAGTGAGTTCTGGCATTTGTTCTCCTTAATATGTGAATATAATTTATAAATATGGTTTGTGGTGCCTATTAGAGATGAAAAAATAGTTTCCACTGGTTCCATGGATGACCACGGCTAGCAAACATGCAAATTAGAAAAAGGCACATCTGTGAAGTCTGGGGCAAAGCTTGGTGAGCAGGAAAAAGGGATGGATTTCAAGTCCCACTTTCCCCTCCCAGGCAGCTCTGCACAGGAATACCTGCACCACCATATTCAGCAGCTGAGTCTGGGCCGTGGTGGCTCCAAGAGGATGCTTGAGGGTAGTTTTTAATCCTCTTTCTGCCCAATTATTAGATAAGAACAATAATTTTTATCGCTTGCAAAATGAAGTTCCAAGACAATTTGCCCACCTGCCCCCTTCCGATCAGAACGCTAACCTTAAGGACGTCCTTAAAGAAACATCCTGGGTCCCCCACTAAGCTTTGGAAATGAAACCTTTCCCATCGTGTTTTCTTCTTTCAGTCTACCCAGATGGAAAGGTTTTGCTGTTATTTTCCAAGTTGCCTTTTTCTTTATAATTTCCATTTCCTGATCACTCCCTAGCCACTTATTTTTGTAACTGAATTTTTCTCATGGGTTGAAATTTATTGTAGGAGGAAACTGAAAGTAGGCATGCGTTTCAACATCTTGCAGTTGACTATGTCTCAGTTTGTACCTTAACTGACCTGACAACAGCTCTTAACCCCGGGGATCACTCTGTCCTCTGGAAAATTTCTTCATTTGGCTTCTAGGACACAGCTCTTTGGATTCTCCTTCTCCTATATGTCTGCTCCTTCTCAGTCTCCTAAACTGATTCCTCCTCATATTCCTGATTTCTAAGTGTTGACATCCATGAACCATCCTCTCTCCTGCTCTGTCTACACACTTGCCTAGGGGATCTCACCCGGCCTGTGGGTTTACACACCATCTATTCCCAAGAACTCCCAGGTTTATACCTCCTTCAGTCTATGCCCTGAACTCCAGACTCATATTCAACTGCCTTCTCAACATCTCCATTCGGATGTTTAAAGGCAGCTCAAACTCGACACGCCCAAAGCAAACTTTCTTTCATGCATACCTCCCACAGCCTTTCACCTGGGCAAATGGTACTCCCCCTTTCTTCAGTTGCTCATATGGAAAACCTTGGCATCATCTTTGGCTCATCTCCTCCTCTCACTCTCCACATCAGCAACATCAGTGGGCTCCAGATTTGAATATGTCCAGAAATGGACTATTTCACACCACCAGCTGCCACTCAGGTGGAAGTCAACATCACCTCTTGGTCCAAGTATTTTCGTTAGTATTTATTTGGCAGCATTGAGTCTGAGCTGTGGCACACAGGATCTTCCCTGTGGCTCATGGGTTTCTCTCTAGTTGGGGTGCAGGTTCAGGTGCCCCAACTCCTTCAGTCTATGCCCTGAACTCCAGACTCATATTCAACTGCCTTCTCAACATCTCCATTCGGATGTTTAAAGGCAGCTCAAACTTGACATGCCCAAAGCCAACTTTCTTTCATGCATACCTCCCACAGCCTTTCACCTGGGCAAATGGTACTCCCCCTTTTTTCAGTTGCTCATATGGAAATCCTTGGCATCATCTTTGGCTCATCTCCTCCTCTCACTCTCCACATCAGCAACATCAGTGGGCTCCAGATTTGAATATGTCCAGAAATGGACTATTTCACACCACCAGCTGCCACTCAGGTGGAAGTCAACATCACCTCTTGGTCCAAGTATTTTCGTTAGTATTTATTTGGCAGCATTGAGTCTGAGCTGTGGCACACAGGATCTTCCCTGTGGCTCATGGGTTTCTCTCTAGTTGGGGTGCAGGTTCAGGTGCCCCAGAGCATGTGGGAGCTAGTTTCCTGAGTGGGGACCAAACCCACATCTCCCACATTGGAAGGTGGACTCTTAACCACTGGGTCCCAGGGCAGTTCCTCGCCCTGGATTATTGCAAGTCTTCTAATTCATTTCCCTGACTCTGCCCTTCCTCCCCTCCCCACTCTCCAACCAGAGTCAAATTTCTTCGCCACAGTTGTGGGATTCTAAGTGAAGTTAAGTGAGATCATGTCTCTCTTCTGCGTAACGTGTTCCACCTTCCACAGTGAAATCAATGAGCTTGAAAGGGCCTTTTAAGGCTCTACACGGGCAGCTGTGTTTTGGAGGAGGAAATGGCAAGCCACTCCAGTATTCTTGCTGGAGAATCCCATGGACAGGGGAGCCTGGAGGGCTATAGTCCGCAGGGTCGGGCACGACTGAAGAGGCTGAGTGCACACGCACATAGCGTGCGTGTGTTTGATCACTGTCCTCCCCACCAAGGAAGTACCCCCTCTGATAGAAAGCACTTTGTTCCATTCACTGTTACAGCTCCGGTACCTACGAAAATGCCTAGCACATAGCAAATGTTCAATACATATTTGTTGAATGAATGTTGAATGAATCTAGCCAGATTATACACTGACTAAAAGCTACCTGCAATATATAAAATAAAACGTATTAAGGTTTACCTTAAAATTTTCCAGAATTGGGTATCTTAAAAGGCATAGAAAGAAATAAGGTGTTTACTCTTGAAGCACACTGACGCCATATAATGTTTGATGAACTGAAACACTGAGTCATGAACTGAACTGGACTGAAATCCACCATCTTCCTGTTGTGAGTAGATTGCCTCAAGGTAATGGGGCAGAACAGAGCTACTAACTGACATTACTTAACCCCTTGTTGGCCTTGTGTTGAATTATGAAATGTTAAATTTACTACATGTTTGTTAATTTTTACCAATTAGTATTAAATTATATCATTAAATACATGTTACATAACTAAATGAATATATTATGAATATAATGGTTCACTACTGCAAATGCTGAAGAACCAGGCTGATGCACTATGAGAAAATATCCATCAGAGAAGTCAGGAATTGTGTTCTATTTCTCATCCTACTGGGGCTGAGATGGTAAAGCATCTGCCTGCAACGCAGGAGATTCAGGATCAATCCCTGGGTCGGGAAGATCCATTGGAGAAGGGCATGGCAACCCACTCCAGTATTCTTGCCTGGAGAACTCCATGGACGGAGGAGACTAGCAGGCTGCAGTCCACATGATCACAAAGAGTCAGACTCAATTGAGTAACTAACACTTTCAGTATCACCCTATTGTCAAATCTAATTGTGTATGTTAAAGATTTCTTGATGAGAGCTGTTAGTATATTAAAATATATTTACTGAAATTCAATACATGATTCAAATGATGTGTAATTTAAAAACAACTTGTGAAAGCCACACAATGAATTCATTTAAAACAGGGTATAACTAAGGGGAAAATTTTACTTAAAATACTACACTAATAACTAACCTAATTGCTATTGTTGTTTTGTTCAGTTGCTCAGTCCTGTCTGACTCTTTTTGACATTATGGACTGCAGGCTCCTCTGTCCTCCACTATCTCTCAGAGTTTTCTCGAATTCATATCCATTGAGTCACTGATGCTATCTGACCATCTCATCCTCTGCCACTCCCTTCTTCTGCCTTCAATCTTTCCCAGCAACAGAGTCTTTTCCAATGAGTCGGCTCTTTTTATCAGGTGGCCAAAGTATTAGAGCTTCAGCATCAGCAACAGTCCTTCCAAACTATATTCAGGGTTAATATTTCCTTTAGGATTGACAGGTTTGAACTCCCTGAAGTCCAAGGGACTCTCAAGAGTCTTCTCCAGCACCACAACTCGAAAGCATCAATTCTTCAGAGCTCAGTCTTTTTTATGGTCCAACTCTCACATCCGTACATGACTATAGGAAAAACCATAACTTTGACTACACGGACCTTTGTTGGCAAAGGGATGTCTCTGCTTTTTAATATGCTGTCTAGGTTTGTCATAGCTTTCCTTCCAAGAAGCAAGCATCTTTTAATTTCATGGCTGCAGTCACCATCTGCAGTAATTTTGGAGCCCAAGAAAAGAAAATCTGTCACTACTTCCACTTTTCCCCCTTCTATTTGCCATGAAGTGATGGAACCAGATGCCATGATCTTACTATTTTGAATGTTGAGTTTCAAGCCAGGTTTTTTACTCGCCTCTTTCACCTTCATCAAGAGGCTCTTTAGCTCCTCTTCACTTTCTGCCATAAATGTGGTGTCATCTGCATATCTAAAGTTACTGATATTTCTCCCAACAATCTTGATTCCAGCTTGTAATTCATCCAGTACAGTATTTCACATAATATACTCTGCATATAAGTTATATAAGCAGGCAGGGTGACAATATACAGCCTTGATGTATTTCTTTCTCAATTTGGAACCAGTCAGTTGTTCCATGTCCATTTCCAGCTGTTGCTTCCTGACCCACATACAGGTTTCTCAGGAGACAGATGAGGTGGTCTGGTATTCCCATCTCTTGAAGAATTTTCCACAGTTGGTTGTGGTCCATACAGTCAAAGGCTTTAGCGTAGACAACGAATCTGAAATAGATGTTTTTCCTGGACTCCCTTGGTTTATCCATGATCCAATGAATGTTGGCAATTTGATCTCTGGTTAGTCTGCCTCTTTGAAACCCAGCTTGTACATCTGGACATTCTCGGTTCATGTACTACTGAAGCCTAGATTGAAGGATTTTGAGCAGATCCTTGTTAGCGTGTGAAATGAGCACAATTGTACGGTAATTTGAATATTCTTTGGCATTGCCTTTCTTTGGGATTGGAATGAAAACTGACCTTTTCCAGTCCTGTGGCCACTGCTGGTGTCTTCCGAATTTGCTGACATATTGAGTGCAGCATTGTAACAGCATCATTTTTTTTTTTTAGGATTTTAAATAGCTCAGCTGGAATGTCATCACCTCTACTAGCTTTGTAGTAATGCTTCCTAAGGTCCACTTGACTTCACACACTAGGATTTCTGGTTCTAGGTGAGTAACCACATCATCATGGTTATCCAGGTCATTAAGACCTTTCTTGTTTAGTTCAGTGTATTCTTACCATCTCTTCTTAATCTCTTCTGCTTCTGGTAGGTCCTTACCATTTCTGTCCTTTATTATGCCTATCCTTGCACAAAATGTTCTCTTGAGATCTCCAATATTCTGGAAGAGATCTCTAGTCTTTCCCATTCTATTGTTTTCCTCTATTTCTTTGCATTGTTCACTTAAGAAAGTTTTCTTCTCTCCTCGCTCTTCTCTGGAACTCTGTATTCAGTTGGGCATATCTTTCCCTTTCTCCCTTGCCTTTTGCTCCTCTTCTTTCCCCAGCTATTTGTAAAGCTTCCTCAAACCGCTTTGCCTTGTTGCCTAGAGAAAAGTATAAATC